AAGTATATGTTTTAATGTATTGTATCAGTAATATTTTCTATATTATATTAATGTTATAATATAGTTAATTTTATGTTTATTTATTAATTTAAAATAACAAATTAATGAAACAAATAAAATTAAATATTTTGTAATTATTTTTTAATTTAATATTTATTATTATTGTCATTATATATATATATTGCATTAAGTTTAAATTTATTTAATTTTTTAAACATAATAATTTTCTTTTAATTGATTCAACAAATTGTGTGAATGTTATTTTTTTTAATCAATTTTACGTGTTTACTATAACTTTCTTTGTTGAATATAAGATGTCTTTAAACAAACAAAATATGTTTCTAAAATAAAACAAAAATATTTACTATTTATATAATTTTTAAAAAATAAATCAAGAAAAATATAAATATAAATTTTATTAATATAAAATATTTATAATTAGTACTTAAATAATATTTTAAAAATTATTTATAAAATTATATAAATATTATTATAATTATTTAATAATTATTAATAATATAGATAGAAATTAGAAAAATATTTAAACTAATTTGATAATAAAATATTTATATTTTTATTAATATTTTTTTTGTAATAAACTTTGTTAACAGGCTTTAAGCCAGGTCAGACCACTTAAACAGATCAGACCGGGCCTAAAATAAAGCCTTTAACAGGTCTTGTTTCTATTTCTAACTGTAGTGTAGATGTCAGCTCTCATATTATTTTGTAAAAAATAATTAAAGAGTGGCAACTGTGAATACCCAATTTTATCCGGGTCCTTGTCAAAAATAAATTTTAAAATAAAAAAATAAATATAATAATTTCTTTTTTATGAGATTAAGAAAATAGATAAAAAAAACTAATTTAAAATTTAAATTTAAAATTTTAATTTTTAAATGTAAAATCAGATTTAGAAATAGTCAAAGTAGTTAGTGGATTTTTAGGAAAATGGATAAAAAAGAAAAAAAACTGATTACTGGTCATCGGAAAATAAGAGAGCCTTTATTAAAATCTAGGGTTTTATAAAATGTCTATAAATAGGAAGCTTAGGTCTTCAGAGGAAGAGACTTTGAAGTGGATACATTTTATTTTGTTTACGGAGATACTTTGAGAGCATAGAGAGAATTCAAGAGAGAAAGCTCAAGAAACGAAGAGAAAGAGAAGATTCAAGAGAGAGCTCGAGAAACAGAGAGAAAAATGAAAGAGTTAAAAAGAAATCAACTGAGAGTTAAAACATAGTCCTAGAGATCAATTGAAAAGAATATATCTAGAAGGTTGAAGGAAAAGTCGACTCAAAAACTCTGAGTCATAACAAATGAGTCAACAAAAATATAATTTACTTCTCTTTATTATTCAGTAAGAACTACTATTTCCTTGTTCTTTTGTTGTTCCTTTTTTCTTTTACTCATCATATCTTCATGTGTTTTTTTTTTGTCTGTATTAAAAGTTTTTTCTCTTACAAATTCTAGTGTATCTAACCTAAAAACTTTTTCTTTTCTTATAAACCTACAAAATTTTTAATTTTCCTTTTACCTCCAAAATTTTTCTTTCTGCAAATCCCAATTTTTTTTAACATGAAATATTTGTTCATTTTGTAAAAAAAAATTTTTTTTTTTCTACCCCAAAAATTATTCTTTTTGCAAAATCCTAAAGAATCTAATTTTTCTCTAACAACCTTTTTTTAATGATAAATCCTCTTTTTTTTTTTTCATAAACCTAAAAACCCTAATGTTCTTTTAACCCTAAAAATAAAATCCAAATCCATAAAATTAATTATTTTTTTTCTAACTCCGAGTATTACTTTTTTTTTGCAAACCCTAAAAACAAACTATTTTTTTTCTAACACTAAATTATTCTTTTTTGCAAACTCTAAAAATAATATTTGTTTTTATAACCCAAAATCATTCAATTTTATTGCAAGGTCTAAACAAACTATTTTTTCAACCCTAACAATTTTGTAAATTAGAAAAATTTAATTTTTTCAAATCTTAAAAATTCTTTCTTTTCATAAATTCTAAAACTCCTAATTTCTTTGCATATCCTAACCTAAAAAAAAACTTATTTCCTAAATTGAATAAGAGTTATTTACTTATCATTTTTGTTTGTTCTTGTATTTGTTTATTTGTTCTGTGTGTCTCTCGTTTGTTTTTTTTTTTTTTTGCGTGCAAAAATCTCATATTAAAAGGTATATCAATTTTACATTATTATAAAAACATGAGTCTTTTGAATCCACGCAACGGCCAAGTAATTTTGATAGAGTGGAGGATCCACCTTCAACGTTGCTTGGATCGTAAGGGTTTATTGAATATCCGTGTACTAACTTGAACCCTCTGCAAGAGTGAATTTACTTAAAAATGATAATAATAAAGAAAAATCAAGTTTTTTTTGAAAAAGAACTACGTGGTAGCTTTGATTTCTACGTTACACACGGAGGATATGTAGGAGCGGGAACCTGACTTGTCAAGTCCAATTTTTTTTTAAATGTTTTTCCAGGTTCAAAATATTATAAAAATTGTTTTAAACTAAGATTAATTTCTAGCACATTTTTTTATAAAGATTAAAAAATGAATATTTTATTTTATTTTAAAATATCGAAAATAGAAAATAAAAAATAAAGTGTTAAGATATGTTGTTTTACTATAATATTTCTTTAATACAAAAAATGAAAAAAAAGAATAATATTTTTACAAATAACTCATTCCTTTAATTCAAATAATTTTTATTGTGTTTCCTTATTTTAAAAAAATAAAATTAAAATCTCTTAAAAAATTGGTAAAAATTAGAAATAAATCTAAAAATAATAATAATAACAAATTTAAAAATAGTAAAAAATATATTAATTAGTTTCTCTTAGAGTGAAATAAATATTTTTTAAAGTTAAAGTAAAATTTTGCACAATTAATTAGAAGGTAACCGTTTTAACCAACGGACGTCGTAAGGTGCTAATACCTTCCTTACACGTAAACGACTCCCGAGCCAAAATTTGGTTTCAAAGATTTTTTTTTAATTAAAAGTTTTTCCAATGTTTTCTTTAATAAGCTTTGGTGGCGACTCCTTGTCATCGCCGTCCCGTCGTGACCCCAGTTGCGACAATTAATAATATAGATAGAAATTTAAAAAATATATAAACTAATTTGATAATAAAATATTTATATTTTTATTAATATTTTTTTTTGTAACAAGCTTTGTTAACAGGCTTCAGGACAGGTCAGGCCAGGCCTAAAATAAAGTCTTTAACAAGTAACAGGTCAGGTTCTGGCCTAATAATTATGTTACAGGTCCGGCCTGTTTAGAGTAAAACCTGGTCTGACCTGACCTGTTTCCATCTCTAACTGCAGTGCAGATGTCAGCTCTCAGCCTATTTTCAAATTGGACACACAGATCCTCCTTGCCTCCTTCATGTTGAAAGTGGGGCCAATATTTCATTAATTCATAAAATTTGGTCGCATACTCCCTTACTAATTGATATACCAGTTCATCTTAGTAGAATCTTCATTTGGAAAGTCTTAATAGATTTGATGACCTTATTTCTTTCTTTTTTTTTGTTATATTTTCGAATTGTTAAGGAGTTTGATTTTATTTTTGTTATGTAATATATTTTTTAGTATTGATAATATAAAAGTCTTGAATTCCATTGATATATGTTAAATCTCAAACCTATTTGATCCATGGTAGGAATATAACTTTTGTTGATTAATTGATAACTGATGTTTGAAAATTTGTTGATTCTAAATTAGTTATAATTTATCTCAATTTTTTTAATAATATAGCTTTTGCATTTTATGTTAAAGAATATTTTTAATAAAAAAAAGAGATGATAGGAATACAATAAAAAATGATATTGAATTTAACACTAAAGTTTTTTTACACTACTATTCAATTATAGAATGTCATAAAATACGAAAATTATACTTTTTTTAAAGATTTTTTTTAATGAAAATACATATTTGATCTGTGTTGACATTTATTTACAAAACTGTGACATTTAGACGTTGACGAGGGCAAAGAGTGATCGCCAGGGTAATATGGCACTGACAAAGAGCGACTCCTGACAAGCTTCTAGCAGTAAAGGACACATGCATAAATCAAACATATACTGGAATGAGAAGGATCCAGAGACTGTGTACATATGAGACTATACAGTAGAGGATAATTTAAAGGAATTGATTAGAACTATCTATACTAACAAAATGCATTTACTTTTTGATAACCTATTACTTAGAACTCAACAGTTAAGCATGCTTAATTTGGAGCAATTATATGATGGGTTTGTGAGTGAAGATAAAGCATACTAAAAAGTCTTGTGTTGATTTGTAAGAACAATCATCAATGTCGAACAAGTTTTTTTACAAAAACTCTTTCACTTAAGAAAAAATATTTTAATTTCCATATAAGTATGTTTTAGTCTTTACACTTATAATACTATTTAAAAAAAATATATACTAAATTCATAAATTTCTACTAACTTCTACCAACAAAACAAAACAGAAAAAAAACTCATAAAAATAAAAATATAAATTTTTGGTATATAAGTCGTAAATTAGAGTTATTTATAAGAATTAAATGTGCCTCTTGACCTAATTCTTAAAAGCTATATTTAGGATAATTTATAAGTGATTTACATTATAAAACTTTTTACATTCATCGTCTATTAAAATCAAACTCTAGGATAGGTTTTAATTAAAAATTCATATGTTAACATTTGTTATAGATTTTAAAATTTATTAAATGCTTCCAAAAGTAATAGAACAAAAGCAAAAACAACTGACTTTGTTTTGTATAAGATTGTTGATATATGAACGTGGTACTTTAAAACGTATTAGCAAAATAAACAAATAAAATCGAATTATCCAAATCAAACATCTTTTTCATGAACTATTCAAACAACTTTTCGTTAGATAGAATTGGATTGGATTGTCTTCAAATCGATCCAAGCTAAACTACATTTTATTTTTATATTTGAATTGAATGACTTCTTATCTTAAAATCAATTTAAATTGAACTACGAACATTCCTCCTAATGAGTAGGGATTATGTTTACATAGTATCTGCATTTTATGAAAAATATTGAATTATACGTTAATGGTTTTAATTAATCAAAGCCGAAAATTTCGTTTGTTTATTTTTAGCTATACAAAACATAGCATACAACTACAACTAGAAGCTCAACTTGTTTCAGCATCATCACGTTTGTTGTCAGTGTCTAGTTCACCTTCGGTTTCTTCGACTATATCTGCTGGCTCCACATCTTTGACCTTTGATACACGAAAAATAGCCAAATGGGTGTCTCCTGGCAATGATAATGTCAGAAATTAAGGACCTAAATTCATATATATCAAAACTTTAAAGATTCATCATAAAATGATCACCAAAATCAATTGATCGTATTAAAAAATAAGTAAAGTTTAGCAGGTGGCTCCAACATTCAAATTCGACAGACTTTGATTAACATATTAAAAAATTAGACCTATCTCACTCCCGAAAGCTAAATCATAGAGGTTTGTTCAAGCTTTATAAGGAGGATTCTCACTCTATCACTGAGAGACATCTTAACATTTTTTTATGATGTTAAGATGCATTTGGAGATGCATTTTTATAATACCCGCATATTTTTCTTTCAAACTAAGATATTCCATAATCTCTATCACTGTCATCACTATCATACAATAACATTGGAATTTTCAATGATACATAGATATTGGTTCCAGAAGATAATAAGCATCATGGACTTAAATGGTCTACACTGTATGACAGGAAAAGGGCAGGAATTACGATATTCGTATAGGTAAAACTCTGGCTAAACTACCCTGAAATTTCTTCCCAAGGGATTCTTTACATTTAAATCAATATCTAACAAGTCTATTAAATAATACTAGAGAAATGTGTATTTAGACAATTCTTGACTTCTGACCTACTAGCTTAAACTTTTGTCTTGAAAACTTAAAAGGGTGTCAACATTACCAAATTTAATAATCAAAATTTCAGCATATAGTTGTGTCTAGTTTCAGTGCTAGCAAGTTGAGAGTTTGTATATTGTCGACATTTCAAACTGTGCTTGAGTTTCAGTATAATTTTCTTGGGGTTTTCAAAGTAGCTTATAAGATCCTAGTATAGTTGAGAGTATTTCTAGTTGGGTACATAATGAGAAAATAAAAAGTAGCATAATTTATTCAACAAAAAAGGAAAACAACCAAAGACATAAAACTGTGATAGAGTAGGTACCAAACGTAATAAGACTCCCAGATGATACAGTGGCAATGACTCCAGGTCTCAGCCGTTTGTCATCAATGAATGTCCCATTGGTGCTATCCAAATCTGTGACAAGGAGATTCCCTTGTTTCTTCTGAATACGTGCATGCATGCCAGACACTACAAATACATGAGATGAAGTTTAAAAGTGAAAATATGGTTCCTGTTCTGGAGAAAGTCAAGAGAACCAAATAGGTTAAAATTGATAATAATTCAATTTGAAGGCTGATTCAGAGATTCTTCTAAAGAGAAACAAATTACAACTAGGAATAATGAGCTTATCTAGAATAAGAATACAGAACCAATCATAAGACAAATGTGTAATTGTAATCTTTATTTTAAGAAAACAATGGTTGTGATGGTCTTTAGACTTATGTGATTCTGCCATATTAAATTTGATGTATTTTTAATTGTAGAAAAAATAAAGTGTCAAACTACATAACAAAACGTATCAACTGGAGCAATATACCTGTTGCAACTGGGATTACCAGATCAGCTTTCTCAGGAACGCGTCCAACAGTCACCTCACTCTATATAATTCAAAATCAAGCCAACCATTCTAAAGCATACTCAGTCACACAAAATATTATTGATGCTAAAATTACTTACAGAGGCAATTTCATATGCACCTGGCAGTGCAACCTTGAAGCCTATATGCCTTGTATCACCATCTCCTATCCAATAAGAGTGATTATATTTCCAATGTTATATAGCACCTCATCAATCTCAGGACTAAAAAGAAAATCAAATTAAAACAAATAATTAAAGTGCATAACAGAAGATGTCCAATTTATAATATCAAGAAGGATTGAGCTCAGTAAGCTAGTCAGTCAAGATAAGAAAATTGGAAAAGTTTGGCGTCATGTTGAATTTTTGTATCAAGTTATCTTGCAACACAGTGAAGCATATAACGCCAGCAAAAATAGTATAGAAGAGGACAATAAAAAGGATTTCCAACATCTCCAAATTTAAGCCCCTGAACTTGAAGAAGCATGTTACATGTAATTAAAAACAGCTATACAAATAAAATGCAGAATTACTTTTCACCTATATTGTAAACCAGTCAGCATAACATGTTAACAGTTTATTCAAATGTGTAAATACTGTACTTTAGCTATTTCTTGTATAGACAGTAAGAAGCATGATCAAAGTATCATTTTATGTTCTTTATTATATGGTGGCATAATGGTGGCATCAAGTTGTTAAAATCATAAAGCTTCCAATAGCGTAGTTGTTTATTGATCAAGATTGCCTAAACTTCTGAAGGATTATATTTAAGTCATCAGTATATTTCAATCCTTATTCAGCGGAAGGGTACAAGGTTTGAAAGCCTTACAGCATAAGATTTAAAGCTCAAGGTTTACTCCAAAAAACATAAAATACTCCACAATGTTGATTAAGGACTCCATATTTGGCAGGAAGGAAGAACAAAGAACTTGAACTGAAAAATAATTGTGAAATAAGAAAGGTTCCTAACATCACAAGAGAAAATAATGCATCCACCAACACTGCCAGAGGAACTCGTAGTAAAAATTCAGTAGGATACCAGAAACAATATGCTGGTATGTTTAGTATGTTTGAATAGGGAAAGGTGTTCCACAGAGCATCTAAAATGGAAGTATACCAGACTGTGCTCTCCCGTAAAAAATCTCTGCCTAAAGCAATAGCAGAAGATTCCCTTCCAAAAGCCATAACATCCCTCTCCCATCCACATACCAGCCTAAAACCCCTCATCCATGTCAATCTCTCTAACACTTCACACCTCATAAAACTACCTCATTGCCTGTTACCATCATTCTTCCTTCTATAATATCATATTTAGGGCCCATAACTTATCTGATCCAGCATTGAACCTTTGGACCTCTTAGCTTCAACCTCACACCCTCTTTTGTATTACTGACCATATGAAAATGTTATGTTAAACCATTTCTTTCTTATTTAATGCTTGATTACATTCACTATAGATTTAATGTTTGACTTAAAAGAAGAAGCAAAGACTTCTATATTCCTAATAAGACAATCGAAGTAGAATTTACAACACTCAAGCGGAAGCCAAGGTTGCATCTCAAGATGTGTATGCAGGTTTTCTGTTGCATAAGATTGGTGAACTATATCTTAACATTCAACCAGCCCAAGAAAGCTAAAAATTTAGGGAGATTTAACATACCTGTACCAAACTAACCACTGAGTATAAGGAAGGAAAGCTAAACAAGACATATGCTAGCACTGACTAGAAGAAAAAAATTGCAAATCATATCATGCTACAACTCACTCATTTTAGGTATCTTGGACCTACCATACAAAGTGATGGTGTAATAGAGGGAGCTGTATATAATAAGATTTAAGTCAGGTGGATGATGTTGAGGAATGTTTTGGGTGTAATTTGTGATGGAACATTTTCTCTTAAGCTAAATGGAAAATTTTGCTGCACAAGTGAATACTTTATGGTAATGTTGAGCAATAAAGGGCTGGCAAGAGCATAATATAAGGATTGTAAGATGAGAATGATGAGTTGTCAAACAAGAAAAGATAAAATTCAAGATAAGTGGATGAAAGAATTCATAGGTTATTATTTATGATATAAAGGAGTCTCTTAAGCTAAAAGAAAAATTTTACTGCACAGCCACGGGACTAATGATGCCATATGGTACTTATTATTGGGAGATAAAGGGACAACAAGAGCCTAAGATAAAGTCTGCAAAGAAAAATGTTTGCTTTGAATGAGTAGCCTAACAGGAAAAGATAAGATTATGAATGAATTTATTAAAGAGAAAGTTTGAGTGGTATCTAACCAGGACAAGATTGTTGGGACGTGAGAAAAAGACCCATATAACTCATTTAGAAGAATTGATCAACAGAAGATAGCCCAATAAATTATAGGTAGAGGTCTGCGAAAAAGGACTCGGAGTGATACAATTAAAGAGGCTCTACAATTAAATTGGTTCTTTGAAGAATTAGTTTAGGACAGAACACAGTGACATCGTTTGACTTATTTAGCAAATTCCCCCAAGGGGGAAAAAGTTTTGGACTTTGGTGGTTGTTGTAACGTACATTTTCAAACTAATATCCGTTGACACGGAAGAAAAAGCATGCATAACTGTGATGGAAATACCATTTTCAAACAGTTAATTTTTGTTTAAACAAATCTCCAGTGACAGCATTACTATCCCATGAATTAAATAAATCAAAGCAAATAGAAAGCCCTCAAAAAGAAATAAAAATATGGCCAGAATGTCCTTTAGTTAATATAATGTATTCCAAAAATCAAATGTTTGCCTCATACCAAATGCTCCAGATAACTAATTCCAGTGCAAATCTAAAAGTTGTTCTGTCAAAGAATTCCTAATTCTCCACTAGCAATCTAAATCACCGTACAAATGGTGCCACCTTTACAATTTTCCAAATTCTGTTTGTCGTCTTTGACTAAATTGCATGAATTTATTGGTTTGAAACCTTTTTACATGAATTGATTGGTTCCATGTTGAAACCTTGAAGATAGTTTCTGGAATTAGTAGGAAGTGATGATTTCATCATGTTAGGTTGGTGTATGCTGCAATCTGCATCCTACATTGGATTATGTATTAAAATATGCTATATTATAGGAAGGATTTTAGATCCTTAAATAGGCTAGTACAGTTGCCACACCCCAACCTCAAAAAACAGAGAGAAAAAATGGAACAATATTTTCATATTTATATACATTCCTATCTGCATTGCATCTAAAGGGACACCTTGCATGTAAAGTTTAAGTCAGTAAAGATCCTAACTAAAGATAGGCATAACAGACATTAACAATTTTTCAAATGTTATTCAAGGCTCTAGCTATTCTTCAAATGTTATTACAAGGCTCTAGCTTCTAGAGATGATTATATTGAGTAAGATCATGTAACTAACCAACTGGTTCAAGAAGCCACCTTTCTTCATCATTGGTTGTTGGGTTTGCAGCATCTGAGGCAAGCACAACTCCCAGGTTCTGGTTCTGTCTTGCTTTGGGTCTAACACCACCAGGTAGCTGAAATAGAAAGCACTTGGGCAAATGATGATGGGATACTGAACTGAAAGCTACTGAAGTAGGATTGGAGTTGAGCAAGAGTGGTGAATTCAACAGAGAAAAAGAGCAAGTTTGAGACTTCGGAATTTTTGCAAAGGAGAGAGACTGTACAAAAATGCCCTCCATTTCAGCAAGAATTGTTAAACACTGTGACTGAAAACTAGTTGTTGTTTGCTCATATGGGTTAGCTTGGTGGGACTGGTGATCAAAGATAGTGAATATATGGGACATGGAGTGGAGTATGTGGCAGTCATTTAATGCTTGACAAGAGATTGGATAACTATATCCTGGTTGAATGTTGAATAGTGGATAAATACCACATGATGTAGTTTAACAAAATTTTACACACGGTAAGAGTATTTTCACTATTTTGTTTTGTTTCCTATCAATATTCATAGTTAAGCTCCTCTCTGGGTACTAGGTAGTTTTAAAGACCCCTAAATTTTGGTGTGTATATGATGTTATTTGAGGGAAATGATTGTCCTAAACACTAAGTCAGCGTTTAAAAAGTAAAAGTATATAAAATAAAATGTTCTTAATCAAAGAGCCAAATAAATGCATTTCGGATTATATTAATATCATCTGGGGTTTTTAAAATGTCCTTCATTTTAAAAGGAAGCAGTCTTTTTTTCTTAAATATATTTTAAGTTTAATAACAATATAATATTTTTAATTATTTATATTTATAGAAAGTGAAAATAAATAAAATTTAAATAGTAACTGAAAATTAAAACTGACAGAAATTAACTGAAAATTATTTTCTTTTCAAGAAGCAAGAATAATATATATACTGAGAAGTTGCTTCCATGTGTTAAACTACAAACTTTGAATTAACATCTAACAAATCACTCCTTTAAATTATGTTTGAGAGTTAGATTAAAAAAAATAGAACAAAAATTTTATTTTTAAATTAAAATAATTATATTATTATTATTAGATATGTATTATTTCTTTTATATAAAAATAATTATAAAATGAAATAATATTTATCAAAAAGTAAAAATTCATCTCTCTTTCTTTTCAAACTCAACTTAGAGTTTTTTATTTTTTCAAAGTAACGGTTAAAACTAAATGTGTTCTATTATGTAAAAATTAGAAGTTAAGAACTATCATAATTTATGGTATCTTTGAGAGGCATATTTTTTTAATTTTAAATTAAGAGAAATATATATTATTTATAATAATTAATATATAATTAATATATTAAGTTTAAGTTAATATATTAATTTTTTATTTTAAAAATATTAATTTTAAATATATTTATTTAAAATAAATATTTATTCCCCTTTCCCTTCTCTTTAAAATTCCTTTTTTTTTTTTACCAAACAACTCCATAAACAATAAAATTTAAAGCATTTTTATTATCTAATAAATATTGGATTAATTACCTTATTTATAAAGATGAGTAAACTTAAAGATATTATAAAAAAAAATAGCTCGTATTTGTATTGAGTTGTAAGAATGTATTTTTTTTATATTGATTACAATGATATAATTGATAATTATATAAAATATAATAAGAATAACTAACATTTAAGAGAAGTACAGCTTATTGTGCAATCTATTATATAGAAAATAACTAACTAAGAAGAAAGTAACTAATTTTGATTTTATTTAACTTGAACAATTAGTATCTAATACTCCTGCAAGTTGGAGAAAAAATGTTAATGACTTCCAAGTTGGATAAAAAGTATGAAAAAGGAGATGGATTAAGAGGTTTAGTCATGATATCAACATGCTGATTTTGTGTTGAGATAGGAACTAAAAGGAAGAGTTTGTTTTAAAGTTTTTATAAAGCAAATGATAATTAATATTCATATGTTTAGTTCTTTTATAGAACATACTATTAGAAGTAATATGTGAGCTAATTGACTATCACAGAACAAGAGTGTAGAAAAGATCACAATTGAGCGTGCAAAAAAAAGTTAGAAGAATAAAAAAGTTCCTAACTAAGAGAGTCCTTAATGTATCTCAACACACGTATTGTGGTTTATGATGAGCTTGAGTGTGGTGAGCCATAGCAAATGTCAAGTTGTGTTGTGGTTAGATAAAGTAATTTTCCAACAAGCCTGCTATAGCCAACAACATTAGTAAGTGGAGTATCATCATTTTGTTGAAACTCGATGGTTTTAACCATAGAAGTAGGAAATAGTTTGACAAAAAGATAACTAGTTTAAGATAAATCCAAATTATATTTTTGTTGATAAAGTGTATTCCTAACTATCTCTAATATAAGAAAACATTTTAAAGTTTCCTGTACTTCAATTTTGAATTGATTGTTTAAATGTGCTTGATTGAAGCAATTTTTAAAGCATTCGTACAAAAAAAATAAGATCATTCACATAAACTAAAATAATAGTGAAAAATCCATTGAAATGTTTGGTAAACTAGGAATTATCATTTAATGATTGTTTGTAATTGAGTGAAATAAAATAGTGAAATAGCTTGACAAATCAATGTTGACTAAATTGTTTCAAACCATATATAGATTTATGAAGTTTATATACTAAGTTGAGAGTAGGAGAATTAACTCCTTGTGAATTTTCATGAAAATCTCCTCATCCAAATCACTGTGTAAAAAGGCATTCTTATTGTCTATGTCAAGCAAAAACTAGTTTTGTGATGTAAACTTCAATATGATTATAACCTTTCGCAATTAAACCTAGCATTGTATCTAGCTATTGTACAATATGAATTATACTTCATTTTATAAACCCACTTGGAACCAATAAGGTGTTTATTAAGGAAACTTAAAATATAAGATTGAGGGTTTATAAACTTTCTCTCTCTATCTTGTTCAAAAACTTTTAAGTATGACTAAATATTACATAAGTCTTCTCCTTCCCTTCTCTGCCCTCCAAAAATTAACTTCCAGAATAAAGGCTAAAACAACCATCTCCTCATGCATGACTTTGTTCCAACAATCATACTGTGCTACTTGATTATAATACTTAGGCTCAATTGTATTAGAAATAAACATAACAAATTTTAAATGTGATGAAGATAAGGAATTATAAGATAGAACATGTTGGAGGAGATTGGAGAATTTTATCATATTAGAAGAATTGAAATCATGAATAAAAAATTGAATGGATCTGTGATGTTTTTCATTCATAGTACTCAATTCAAAATTGTTAGAACAAAAGGAAAATGAGTGCTAGTAAAATAAAACATTGCTAGAGACAAAGACTTCTCTATTTGATAGATCTAGAGAATATAACCTTTCATTCTATGTTTAAATTCTATAAAAAAAACATTTCTTAACCTTCGGATCTAATTTTGTTCTATTATGTAATAAAGTGGAGTCAAAGCACAAGCTACCTAAGACTTTTAAGTTAGAGAAACTTGGTAGTATGTTATGTAATTATCAAATGGTGACTTTCCTCCTAATATTGGTGTATGTAGTTTATTTTAAAGGAAAACAACATAGCTAATAGCATAAGACCAAAATAAATTTAGGCATGTGAGAATGAAAGAGTAGTGATCTAGCTACATTCAAAATGTGTTTATGTTTTCCTTTAACCATTGAATTTTATTTGAGGGAGAAGGGGAGTTTCTATACATAACAATTGATGTAAGATTCCACGTTGTGTAACAGCCCAACAACTTATTCGGGATTAACGACTGTCCCCACAAACCAACACAAGATTTTTTAGTGTGTTTTGTCCTTACTCACACTTCTTGAGAACTTCCCATAAGGTCACCCTTCTTAGAAGGTCACCCATCTCATAATTTCTCCAAGTTAAGCACACTTAACTTTGAAATTCTTAAGTGATAGGCCACCGAAAAGTAAATGCATTTTGTTGGTATAGGTAGTCCTAATCAATTTCTTTAAGCTATCCTCAACTATATACTCAGTCTCTAAATCCCTCTTTCATTCTAATGTAAATTCAATTCATTTATGTGTCTCTTACCGCTAGAAGTCTGCTAGGAGCCGCTCCTTGTCCGTGTCACACTGCACCAGCGATCACTCCCTGCCCTCGCCTAGCGCCTGAGTATCACATGTTGTAACACCCCAAATTTTATAATCATATTTTAATTACTATGTATGTGTATATATATATATTGAAATTTTCATGTGTTTGTATGATTGAATTATTGATGATGATGTGTATTGGATGGTGGTGTAAATACGTGAGATGATTACAGATGCATACATGAGTATTTGAATATGTTTGGGACTGGATTGAAGTGTATGGTACAGGGTATTCTTACTGCAGCGAGAGATATCTTGTTGTAGCGAGAGGGCCCTGGGAGGAAGGCGTGAAACTGTCACCTTCTCGCTGCAGCAAGAGGTCCTCGCTGTAGCGACAAAGCGACAGTTTAGGGTACATTTCTGGATGCAATCTCGCTGTAACAAGATTCTGCAGAAACCAAGGTGCAGTTTTCTTTGAGATTTTTGCTATAGTGACAAGGAGTGTCACTGCAGCGAGAGATGCCTCGTTGTAGCGAGCGTGTTGGGATCAGAGGGGTATTTGAAGGGTTTAGGGTTCGAGAAACCCATTTCTCCTCTCTCCCTTTGAAATCCTTTTGATTCTCTCTCCTCCCAATCCGTTTCTACCGATTAAATTACCTCCAAAGTAATTTAAGAGCTAGATTAAAGGTTGAAATCAAGTTTGAGACGCTTAGAGGTAAGTTTATAAGTTAGGGTTTTGGTTTCTCACCCTATCTTCTTGTATTCTCAGTTTCTCATGAGGATTTCCACGGTTTAGGGACGAAGGATCCATGTGGGGAGCTATTCTAACGTTGATTTCGTGGTGGGTTTCTATTCTAAGGTAAGGGGGAGTAAATCCCAAACCCTAACCCCTCTAGGGTAGCTAAAATGAGGGATTCGTAACTATTTTGTTTACTATCTAAATGTAATTTGTAATAAAGACCGTGAATAAATTTGTTCTTCAAGGAATATTACACTTTTAATCAGAAAACATCATTTGGGAGTAGTTAGAATAATGCCCAGCCTTAGGATAGATGACTCTATTATTGAGAAATGTGAGTGAGGGATTGTACGACTGGGCTGAGTCCGGAAGTGTCCAACCTTCGACTCCTTGTATTGGTTGTGTGACGTGTGAACTTGTGTGATGAATATTTAATGATGATTGAGGTATGTTGAGATTGGTTGATGATGCTTGCATGATGAATGACATGATTATTGTATATGTGTTGTTTAATAGTTGAAGTATGCCGAATGAGTGAACCGGTGACATAAATGCAAGTGTGTGTGAGCATGTCAATGATTGAATGAAGCGAATGGGTGTAGATGACATATTGAATGTTGTTGAAAATGAATATAGGCTGTGTACCGTGTGCTGTGACTGAATGTGGGCACTGTGTGTCGTATACGAATATGAATATGAATGAAATACTGGAAAGAGTAATTGTAATACGAAAGTCAGAATAGATGAATAGATGTAATTGCAATACAGGTATTGTGGTACAATCCAAAGGACATACTCATAATATATGTATTGTAATTCACCAAATTATTTGGTTAAGGCTTACGTATTATGACTCGTTGTTCTATAAAAGAGTGTGGAAAGAATGAGAAATGTGGTAGTAATTTTAGATAGCTAAAGTGATACAACTGGGGGTATAGAATTCGGAAAAGATTTGGAAAATCTTGGAAAAATGAGGGTGGTGAATGCTTGTGTGGATAGTGCACAACGATTTGCTGAAAATAAAAGCATTCACAGGCCACACACTCATTTTCTGATGAGACTCTTGACTATACCTTTGCTAGAAGGGGCTGGGTTGGCACACGTGTATCCGTGTTGCTGCGGCTAACCGGCGGCTATCTAAGCTGTGAAGTTCTTAAGGGATCCCAGGGGCATTGAATGTAAATGTGAAAAGAATGTGAAAGGGTGATGTGCAGGAGATAGTATAGAAATGGTGCAGTTGGAATATTTGCATTGTGTCATGTTGGTTGATGTTGTCGCGATACATGTGTTGTAATACATCGACGGATGTGATTGGGACACATGTGTGGTGGCATATCGATTGACGTGGTGTAAAACATGTATTGTGACGTGCATGATAGTAAGCAGATGCATGTTATGAAAGTTAGCAAATGTGATTGGTTATTTATCTTGCGTGTATTATTTTGTGATAGTAAAACGTATGATTTGAGTGTTATTGTGAATTAATCCCTGTTGATTGGTGTTATTAAGTACTGTCTATGCATGTGAGTATTTATTTATACTAAACCAGAGATTTAGTGGGGTGGGAGATACTCACCCTTACTAATATTTTCAAGTGATGGATGTCAAGAGAGAAAGGTGTCTGCCCGCCCTAGAATCATAGTCTAAGGGTATTGAAGGGAAGACTACTCTGTAGAGATTTAAAATGTTTGAGAAAATGTACTATTTTATTTAAATTGTAATTTATGATAACTAAATTGCGTAAAGGATTTTAAAGGCCAGATTTAAAATTCATGGTACTTGGGTTTGTTGAAATTATTTTCTTATCGTCCTTAGTAAAAATTCTAATTTTATATGTATTCGTAGTGAGCTACATGTTTTGTTAAAAATAAAGTTAAATTTTATCTAATCATCTTAAGTTTTCAAAATTTTACCCTTGAAATAATATGAAACTTTCATAAGAAAAAATTTGTAAATTTTGTTATTATGTTACTATAGAGTTTGAGAGTGAAACTAAGTAAATTATTTTCTATTCGCATAAAGATTTGTTTATTTAAATATAAAAAAATGAAGGTGTTACACGTTGAGCATACAAAAACTGATAACTAAAATCAACACCCTTATTTAATCTAATGATTTTAATTGTTTTGTCAAACTATGTTTTCACCGGTAAGATAAAATTATGAATTAATGGTCTAGTATCAGCTTTGTTTTTCGTGAGAAAGATCTATGAGTGCCATGAAAAATCATCAAAAATACTTAGCACATGGAGTAGTAGTATTGCTAATTATAACACCCTGAATTGTCATTATTTTATGAATATTTATTACATTTATCTTCATGGTTTAGAAATAAATAGTACATTGGGGCTTGAAAATTGAGATAACTTTAGCAAAATTAATCGAAATGGGACCAATAGATGAAAATCAAGTAATGTAAATAGAGATTAAATATCCAAAAAATTTTATTGATAATTTTAAATCATTCAAAATAGAATTATAAGAATTATATCATGTCTAGAAAGAATCAATAAAAAATAAATATAATTACAAAATTTGGTTAAAATAATTAAAATACGCAAATGGATGAGATAAAATCTGAAATTTTTTATGTTAGATAACCCATATGTAGATCTTGTTGAACATGCGAAATAGGAGCCCCAAAAGCAAGGATATATAAAAAATTCCTTGCTTTTTGGATCAATTATATTCACAATTAATGTTAAAAAGTTCTTGTTATTTAAAAAAATTCCACCACTTTTTATTAAACCAATTACTTATTAACTGATGTAAAACCATATTCTAGAAAGACTCTTTTTGACTAGTGAGTGAGGTCAACAATAAGGTAATTGGAGGTGTTTTACACCATAGACAAACTACAACCTTAGTTAATGTAAGGATCCATATCCAAATTACTTAATAATTTGAATATATTTTACTTAAATTCTACCTCAATTTTGTATTTAACTTAACTTTGTGTATTTAGTTAGGTCTTGGATATTTTTCAAGAGTTTCAATTCTCAACCTTTCCTGACAATAGAAATTTTCAAGTTCAAAAGGAGTGGTATGCATACATGTGCCATAGATATTTGAAGAATACATTAAGTACAAAAGATTCTTAGTGAGTTTTAATGAGTAAAATGTATATACTTAAGGCAATTTTCAATTGTATAGATTTTTTTCATTATTTATTGTGGTTCAAGGTAAATTGTATTAATTTTGACCTTTTTTGTACTGTTCTGGTGTTATTTAATTTTTACATATTTAATCGTTCTAAATTTATTTGATTAAAAATGTTAATTGTGATATGTACTGTATTGATCAAGATTAAAATTCTAGAGTATCAACTATATTTGGGATACTAAAATGTTCTCGTCTGTTTTTGAATTATTAATTATAGTCTATCATATGCAAGAAAATTCGTAATCATGTAAAATTATTAAAAAAAAATACCAAAATTGTCCAAAACTTTAGAGGGAAGTTCAAAAAAGAGTTCTCAAAACTTGAATTTAGAGATTCATAAGTATAGTTTGGAGAGCAGTTTAGCCATCAACTGCTCTCCAATCTTCATTTTTTAGAGTAATTCCATGTGAAATCGCTTTCTAGTTTACACTTCTGAGCGGTTATTTAGTTATTGTCTAAGATGCAATGCATTTGTATAGGCAGACATTTTAGAGCAGTTCCTTTGCACAAACATTTGTTCCAAAATTCTAACACTTTTCCTATTTTTCTAATTTTTTCCTTAGTTTCTGTATCGATTTAAAAAATAACTTATGCAAAAAGTGCTTTCTACATCGGTTATTTTCACAATTGATGTTAAAAAGTTCTTGTTATTTTTAAAGATGTCATTGCACTTTTTATTAAATCAATTACTTATTTACTTATTAACTAAGGCAAAAGTCCGTTGTAGAAAACTTTTTTTTGTACTAGTGAGTGAGACCAACAATAAAGTTATTGGAGATGCTTTGTACTATGAATAAACTACAATCTCAGCCAATGTAAGGAGCTCATATAAAAAACTAGTTAATAATTTGAATGTTTTACTTAAATTCTACCTCAATTTCTATTTAACTTGACTCTTTGTATTTAGTTATGTCTTCAATAATTTTAGAGTTTCAGTTCTCAACCTTTCCTAACAATAGAATCTAATAAGTTCAAAAAGAATAATATATGTATATGTACCATGAATATTTAAATGACACATTAAGTACAATAGATTTTTAGTGAGTTTTTAATGAGTAAAATGTCAATACTTAAGGTTGTATAGGTTGCTTTTCATTATACATTGTGGTCCAATATAATTGTATTAATTTTTACCACTTTTGTACTATTTTGGTGTTATTTAATTTTTGGATATTTAATTATTTTCAATTTATTTGATAGAAAAAATGTTAATTGTAATATATACTCTATTGATCTAGATTGAAATTATAGAATATCAGGTGTATTTGAGATATTGAAATGTCTCCAACCATTTTTAAATTATTGATTATGATTTATCAATGTTTGGAGAGTTGTTTAGCCCTTAATTGCTCTCCAATCTCCATTTTTTAGAATAGTTTCATGTGGAATGACTCTCTAATTTAAACTTCTGAGTGGTTATTTATCCTCAGTCTAGGATACAATTCACTTGCATAGCACAACAATTTAGAATAGTTTTAAATACTTTCTAAGTTGATGTGAAACAGTTCTCAAATCTTTTTTCTAGTGCAGTGATCAGCTGAGTTATATTTACTTTATATTCAATGCAATTGATTAAATAGATATCATAGAAATCAAAATACATTTTTATTTATATAAATAAATACAGACATATGGATATTTATTGACCATACTTTGTCCTTCTAAAGTTTGAAGCTACCCAAAATCATAAGCTTTGTGTCATCCTTTTCAAAGGTGTTACGAGAGTGTGTTTGAATACACCACTAGCTAATCTAAGCTTACAAGGACCTCACTTAATGTTAAAATAAAAGGTAAAAAATTGCATGACACTAAAACTACATAACATGAGCAATTTGGTGTCTAGTAGCAATTTCATTTTCCTAGTTCTCCATCACCACCATTTGTGGCACAAAACCAAAACCATTTTTCTTTCTATATCGAAAGATATGACGATCAATTAGTGTGAAGGATTTGGAGGAGGGAGCAGCCACTTGGAGCCTTGAATCATGCCAAGCGTTAGGAAAGGTTTGACCTCTGCGTTAGTTAGTTTCTTTGTGAAACTGGCACGCCCATTGGGGTTAGCACCAGGGCCCTTATTCTGATACTCTCCAAAATATACAGATCTGTAAATAATATCATGTATTAATCACTTTTTGCTCATGCAAAAGTATTGTGGTTCTCGACAATGATGAAATAAATTTAAATAAGGTTTTAGTCAACATGACAAAATCTACTTTGAAGGTGGGTAAAAATATTTAAAAATAATATGGATAATGCAATATATACAATGTGATGACACACGTTAACATATTATTAATGGAGCTACTTGTTCAATATATAGGTGTAAATGTAGAGTTGTAAAAGAGTCAATGTAGATGCAAAAGTGAATTAGCAAGTTACTTGGCATAATCAGGGTGGTTGTTCTCACTCCACCCCAATTTATTCACAATTTTGCTCATGGTGGTATAAGCAAAGATCACTTTGGGATGAGACATCCATGCTCTACCCAAGAAAGTTCCAGTCCCAGTTCCGGTAACGTCACAATGTACAAAAGAATAAACAATATCATCTGTATTACTTGTTCTTGCTTGTGCCACTATCACCGTTATCCCATTATCGCCAAGGACTCTCAATTCAGTGTTCTGCATTATAAAATAAATCCCCAAATGTTAATCACATTTTGTATACAGTGATTAATGGAAACACTTTGCACATTGCATTTCATGAAATTATATGTACCAAATATAATGATTTCCCACTTCCAAAAATAAAATCCACAGTGCCTTGAATAAAGCAATCTTTGAAAAAAATGCTTATTTCTATCATCACAAATAGTGTCTTGGAAACCCAACATCTTGCAATTATAAAACGCTGCTTTATCACCAGAAATTCTCAATGCAACCGCCTGAGCTCCTGTTCTCTTTCCATCAGGTCTTGGTGCAGAATTCTATGCCAAAAACAACAATAATAATAATAATAATAATAAATTGTAACAAGATCAACCTTAAACAATAAACCAATTTGCTTTTGTTTTAATAGAGAGCGGTTTTTAAGAAAGATAGAATACAAACCGAGATCATGATATTAGCTGCTACAAAGTAATCCGATTCAACGATCAATGTAGCACTATCAACAGTGCCATATTGGTGTGCAGTTCCACCATAGGTCAGGTTTGGCATGTTCTTTGGTACCCCATACAAGGTGACAAAAGGCTTTGTCCTATCAATTTTGATTTTTTCATGATAATTTCCAGCTCCAATGTACACAATCACACGCTTTGTATTCCCGCTAGGTATGCTGTTAATGGCATCAGTGATGGTCTTGAATTGGCCACTACCATCTTGCATTACCTTCACAACCTTAGCACCTGCTTCTGCAGTCAATAATGCAGAATCTAGAGTGGCCTTTCTTTTACCTAAGGGCGTCACATTGTCATTGAACCATTTGGTTAATTGGAGCTTGTCAGCAGGAATTGGCACAGCGTCATCACATAAAACAACATAGGCTCTAAGGAATGCTACCGCAAGAGCGACCTGAATGGTAAAGCTTTTAGATTTTGAAGCCATGTAATTTCTAGTGTTTAATATTGTTTTCGATGTTATTTCTTAGAAGTATAAATCATTGCTATTGCAATTTATATTGAAGAGGTTTCTAAATTTACGCTAATTTGTTTGGAGAGCAACTGATTTCAATCACCCATCTTTTAGTACAAAGTTAAAAATAAACTTGGGGTTGATAGCTTTCGACTTCAAACAATTTGTCTGAGGTTTTACTGCTTTCTAATTATATGAATGTCTAAACCAAAATTATTGGTTAGAGTTTTTCCGTCTAAAATAGTTTACCCCGCAGAATCATATATATATATATATATATAAAAAGACAGATCTTTATATAAGTCTAAAATCTTTTACACTCAATATAAACTAAATGAAATTTAATGGTTAGTTAGATTTATGTTAAACGAAATGTTCGAATTTGATATAAAAGTTTTTAGATTTACATTGATATAAGAAAATCTTTCTTTTACACTAGATTAAGCCTTTCATTAACTAACAAGATTGAGTATAAATTTTTTTAAATTTATATTAGTATAAGAATATCCTTTTATATATATATTCTCACTGTTAAGTAATTTTTGAAGTAGACTTGATAAATGATAAGTTACTTTATTTTCAATTCTAACGTGATAGTTATAGTGTTTGACTTTTTATTTTTTCAATTGATATTTCTTTGATTTCGAACAAGCAGTTTTTGACTAGGTGCACACGTATATGTTTTGAGGTAATGTATTTTATTTTTTGATAATTAAGGTGATGTATTTTTTTTAATCTAGTTAAATTAGACACAATTATAATTAACTATCAAAATTACATTTATGTGTTACACAAAAATTATTACGAAGAGGTCATGAAACACCTATTTTTCCATAAACAATTTGTTTTTTTATGGATTATTAGTGAAAATGCCTGTGATACAAATGTTCTGATTAACTTTATATAAATGAGTTCTACTTGATAAAATTATTTTATTAATTTAATTAATATTTAGTTTATTAAGTTTGACACGTAACTTATTTATTATTGGTATTTCATGACAAATTACAAATTAATGTTATTATTTTATAATTCACAAATTCATGGACGCACGGGTAATGTTAATTTTAAACGCAGACGTACTTAATTAAAATTTTATTTTTGTTATACTAGTTATCCTTTATGATATTATTTCTATTTATTATATAGAAAAATTTGAATAACGTTTCTTATTATAAGAAAAATTATTCTGTCTCTTACACAATTTAAGTAAATCACTATATTGTAAGTTTTTCCAATTAATAATTGAATTCAAATTCAATTCATAGGAACAAGGATATCAAATTCTTGAGTTCAAAGCTTTTATTTAAAATTCAAAATGAAATCAATTAATTTAATCTTTAACTCTGTTTTGTAAAGTTAGTTAAAAGCTTATTACAGGTATAGCTAAAAAATTATAGCTTATAATTAAAAGCTTATAAGGGCATTTGACAAGACATTTCAGTCAGTCAAACTATTTATTAAAATTAGTTAACATGTAATAAATTACTAAAAAGGACTATATTATTATATAAATATATATTAGAATTAAATGAACAGAAATTTATGATTTGTACCTATGTATAATTTGTTTAAAAGGAAAGCGGTAAAAGTAAGATATAATTATTAAGCTGAAGTTAAAACGAGTACGCAAAAGTGTTGCCTGAATAAGTTAGGATGTTTAAATTATTAGATATATTTAAAAAATAATGGTACTTAATAACACCAATTTCATATATTTACAATTTAATCTTCTATAAAAATTTATAAAATTATTCTTTGACTTTCCAAACTTGTTATTTTAGATTTTTAATAGATTGTATTGATAGTCAACTTTTTATTTTTTTTTCACGCAAATTTGTATGTATCCAATATTTACACAGTAATTTTAATAATTAAAACTTTCACATGCACTGAAACAGTTTCAATTTTTAGAAAAAATAACTTTTAAATTAATAGATCATTGAGTATCATTTTAGATCTTTAAGATTTTTTACCAGTTCCTATATATGCAGTTCACAATTTTGGTAATTAAAACTTTCATAACTACTCTCACAGTCTCAATTTATTTTGAAAACAAATTTTTGTATTGATAAATTATTTAATGTCATCATAGATCTTTCATATGTCCTCGTTATACACTGCTCACATCTGCTTAGCATAATGTCTGCAAAATTTGTTTTATTTTAACCTTGCTTAAGCGAAAGTTACAAAAAAAAATGGTTTAGTGAATGAATATTGCTTAAATAACGAATTCGCTTAAGTGAGAATATTATTAGTTAAAGTGAAATTTACCTTATTTAAGCAAATTGCACAAGCACAAGAATCCTGTAATTTTAGCTTAAGTAAAAAATAATAGCTCAAACAATAGTTGACAAAATTTTCTATGATTATCACTGTATAAAATTAATTTAAGTGAACATTGTATGTTAGAAGCAAAATTTACAAATAATAATTTTCCTATGTTTTATAGCATTCAACCACATCTCTTTAGTCATTACCCTTATTTCTATTTAGTCAAGTTGTTTATTGCCAAAAGAATTAGGATGAATATATGATATTTTCAAATTTAATTAATTCTACTTACAAATATCACAATTCAAACTATGACAATGTGATAAGTTTGTATTTTTAGCATGCTTTTGTAGCTTATTTTTATGTACTTGATGCTTATTTGACTGGATTTTGCACTTATTATTGCAATGTAGCATGTTAAAAACTCTAATGGATTATTAAGGTGTTTTTGGCATAAATTGATGAAAAATACGACTAGTACACCCATGCTTCAACAACAAGCACGCCCAAGCTTCAAGCATATACACGGCCATGCATATTTGTGTGTATGATTGTACTCCTCTGATGTATTCAACTTAGAGATTTTTAAGAAACTTGCGAAGAAAGAATTTGAATTTTAAAATTAGAAAATCATATCTTTCTTTTTATATATGTCATATCTTTATTAGAGATAAAACATATCTCTAGAAGGTGACAACTATCATCTTCAGTGGATTCTAAACCCTATTTAAAGAATCGTGAGAGCTACAATTTAGATATTTTGATTTTATCCAATCATTGACAACTCTAGGAGCTTTGGAGAGCACGTCCTGCGATCAAAAATTCTTTTCATCACTTTTTCATTTGGGACTCCTTTAGTTTGAATTTACTTCTTGAATGACTAAACATTGATTTCTTATTATTTTAGCTTTCTATTATAATATGTCTAGCTAAAGTCATAGTTAGGACTATGGTGGATCCTTTGCATTATTTTATGTATTCTTTATGATTGATAATAATTTCAGTTTCCTTTATTAATTGGTTTTTATCTTATTGTGTTATATTTGTATGTTTGAAATTGATAACTCTTAAACATATAATAATTAATTATATTATAGATGATCATATTACATATAGTAAACTCGTAGACTCTTTATGCTCTCTCTTTCTTTTGTCTAACATGATCATTGAAGGTAATAGTCTAGAAAAAAGATGTAACACCCTACAATTTCACTACTTCTAAGTGAATCACTAATTATATCAAATTAAATAAATTATAATTAGATCATATATGAAAAGTTAGAAATTAAAACATTTAGCAAAATTTATCCAAAAAAGAGACGAGTTAAGAAAAAATTGGGTAACATAATTATAGAGTAACTCAATTTTAATAGGAATTAATTACTCAAAATTTTTCTAAATGATTTTAGACCATCTAAATTATGAATTACAAAATTTATAATAAATTGAGAGAAAATAAAAATAAAAATTAAAAATAAGTTCTAAAATTAGCCAAAAAGATCAAAATACCCCTAGAATAAGCCTAGAATGATGACCCAAATTCTGAACTTTTTATAGCAAATTATTGGGCCAAATGAGATTATAGTAGTTCAAGAACCAGGCCCAAACTTCAAATAGAAAAGTAAACCAATTTATACAAATTCAGCACTTAAAGTGGGGTGAAAAGGCTAGGTAAATGGAGCAAAACTTTCAATTTTGTTATCCTATTGACCTAACCCAATTGACATGGTTTTGAGCATGAAAAGAGGACCCAATTTATCAATAATTGGACAAGGGATCGGCTGAAATGAAATAAACTAATGAGAAAGAAGGCTTGATTTACTTAAACTCCTTGAAAATAACATAGAGTCAATAGTTCAATCCCTAACTAAGAAGCCTGATCAAATGCCAACCAAACTCAGCCAACAGATAGTGTTATATAAGGAAAAAAAATCTGAAATGAGTAACCAAAAACTAAAGGCAAACTAAGAGGGTACACTTAGGCAAATTACATGATTGTAAACTTCCAGCCCCATAAAAGCCAAGAAAAAAATTGAAAAGACATCTTCCAAAGACAAGGCCAAACCAAGCTCTTTTAAATACTTGACCACATCCAACACATACTAAAAATAAACCTCACCACTCAACCATGTCACTCTCCAAGCCAACAAAGTAGGAAAAACTTCAAAAATATCAACAACCCCCACTACCAAATTAAGCAAAAGAACTTCAACATTTGAAGATCTTTAAAGTACACTCAAAACTGACTTGGAAGAAAAGTAAAGAGGCTCAAACCAGACCAACAAAAAGTGAAGGAAGAGGAGATCAACATACCCTTACAACTCCACCAAAAAAGACAAGACAAAATCAAGTAAGGGAAGGAATGTAGTTCATAAATTGGAGAAATACTTTTGCTAGCTAAGTTTTGAGTCAAGGGTAACCCTTTATATTAAATTAAAATTTTGTGAGTCTAATTGATATATGAAAATAAAATTGATTGAAACAAGAAAATCTAACGAAATCAGTAAAAACAGAAAAAACAAAAAATTATGCAAAAAAACTTAACAAATTGTAAATAGGTATTTTAAGGAGAGTTTTTTTAATGAATTTGCTTGCTTTGTATTATTATCATGATATTATGATGATAATATGCGAATTCATGTGTTGGAATTATTTGAATGTTCTTTTAAAAATTTTTGCAAAAATCAAGCATTTTCTGT